CCCCCAGAAAAGGAGCTTCCCCTTCCCCTCCAACCAGAAACAAACACTATTTGTTGGCAATGATGTATAACGCCGGAACAACATCTGGCATTGAGTTTCCCGACTATATTTACATATTTACAGTGCATTGAATCTCTCGTTGTGGATTTATCCCCTTTCTCCTTTCCCCTTTCTCCCGTTCCCCGCCTATCCACAACAATGGGATCCATGGATCGATCCATGGTTACGACCACCCGCCGTCCTCCATCCATGCCCCGTGGTTGGGAGGAAGTCAACACCACCACCAACAGCAACAATGCTTAAATTTACTATCAACGCGACCCGGGGATGTTGGTCACCCACTCCCATTTCTTCCGGCCCTCCTCCGTCGTCAACTCCTCTTCTATCTCCGACATGTACTGTTCATACATCTCTCGAGCTTTCTTGCGGAGGTCGATGATGCCGCGCTTCGGAAGCCGCCGCCGAAAATCCCCCATGATCAACTTATAACGGTTGGTCGATTTCTCTACAGAATCATCTCTTCAGCACTCAATCCAGAACTTCGATCAGGGTATGAAAGCACTTACCGGGATGTTTCTGCAATCCCTGGCGAAGAGCATCCTCTTCATCCGGCGTCCATGGGTTCGGGTTCCCCCGTGGCGGCCCTTTCTGTTTCTCGGGGGGCTTCGGTCGTTGCGCCTTCTTCAGTCGGCCATAATTCAAGGCCTGGACGAGCTCTCCTAGGGCGCGACGAAGATCCGACTCAACGCAGCTCGGTTGATCCAGATAGCCAGAGATCGAGTCTACCCACTGAATCCACTCGGACAGCGTAGTCAGATGGTCACAAAGGTTGCCATAAGCCTCACTGAAGAGATTCTCGTGGGCATGGTAGATCTCGTAGCAGAGGAACACAACCTTCGCCATAGGCGGAATGATCTCCTTGTAGAAGGCCTGCACCAGGGCCACCCCCTGCTTCTTGTCGGCCCGGGTACTTCCTTCCTTGCCCAAGTTGAAGACCTTGTGGAGCAGCTTCTCGTGCTTCTCGTTGGCCTTCCTCAGCAGTCGACCGCAACGGGCGACTTCATTGTCCGAAGGCCCTTCGCCAGCCTCGGAGCGTTCTACGAGGTTGTTGTAAAGCGCGATCATCGACCAGATCGGTTTTCGGATCGAGTCGAGCTCAGTAGTTCTGTACGACTCATTCAATCGAGTGGATCTCCGACCGTGCCTGATAACAGCCTTCCAACTTTTCTTTTGGCCATCCTCCTCGGACGCTTTCCCGAACCACGGACTGTCCGCTGAGGAGTCCGATTCATTGTCCGAGCTCTGGCTGGAATCGCCATCTTCATCCGATCCACTCTGCGAATGTGGATCCACTTGAGAGTCGGTGCTTCCAGAATGTGGTGATCCAGGAGTCGGCTGCGCTACATCTGCCTCTTGGCGGGACGGCGGTGCTTGCACGCTTGGGGCTCGGACAGCGGTCCGTCTTCGTTTCCTTGGGGTTGCAATCGGGGACGGTTCGGCCTCAGTAGAATGCACGCCCGAATCGCCCGAGTTATCGCGGTCGTCGTTTGAACCAGTGGGGTGGTTCGCATCGTCTGCGGAGGCTTCACGGGCTTCATCAGGCGTGTCTTGGATTTTTCGAGGTTGATTGCGAGTCCGTAAATGGTGCGATGGATCTGCTCCACCTTGGTTTCTTGTAGTCACCGACCTGGTTGATCGTCCCGGGGGTGGCTCTTTTCGACTTGGGGCTGATACTCCGACAGCACGGCTTCGCGAGGAGCTGGGAGGTGCTGCTGCTGTTCCTCGTGTTCTCCTTCGCTCTTTTTCACCGATAGGCTTGAGACTAAGGCCTTTTTCCACTGGGATTGAGGCCTTTCCTCGCCGCTCGGTACGATCCTCCGCAGCTGTTGAAGTCTGGCCCGTAGAATCTGAGTCGTCGTCACCCGATGCTTCATCTGGCGAACTTTCCACTTCTTCTTCATTATCGCTTCCAGCCTGAGAAAATGGCCTTGTGGATCGTCGTTGGCTGCTGCCCGATGCTTCGGGGCCATTCTCTTGTTCGTCCCCAGAGTCATCCATGGCTTCGGCTAGATGCGAGCGGGCACTGCTCGGCTTCGCCAGTCTTTTCACTGGTTGTAGCTGCGACTCATCGTCATCGGCCACGGAAGACGAACTGGATGTATGCTGTGCAGGTGTAAGCTCTTGATCATTATCGGAGAAAAGATTCAACTGAGGTGGATCGTCTTCCAAGGACCCCTCCTCTTGGACATCAATCATCTCGGTGTCATCCTCAGACCCATAGGCTTCCTCGTCTCCAACGTTGGCAAGAACCTCCGCATCTTCATCATCCTCAGCATAGTCGTAAGCGCCCTCACCTCCTCCCCCGCTGTTGCTATTCGCAGCCCCACCATTGTGTAGCCCCTCGCTCCCGGGTGTAATCACCTCTCTGCCAGATTCATCCTCTGAAGTGCCTCGCAGTCGAGATTTCCACGATGTCTGGACGGTGGTGAGTTTCGTCGAGGGTCGGCGTCGGGGCTCCGACGCTGGGGCCAATTCAGGAGATCGCGGAATCTCCCACAGGTCCTCGCGAGACGGTCGGATTTCCGCTAGAGTGGTGCGGCGTGTACGGCGTGTCGGGGTATCTGGAGAGTTGATGTTGGATTTGGAGGGCAAAGCCTTGTGCATCACTGTGTTCAAAAAATCCACCGACTGCGTGGTGGAATCACGCTTCCTGCGTCGCGACGCGGCGGACTGCGGGGATTTCGCCATATTGAACGCCCATGGGATTTGAACCTCAACGGGACACGCAGTTGCATTTCCTTCACAGCATTTTGAGTTTAGAATGAGGGGGAAAAAAGGGCAGGGGGTTGCGACTGACAGCTGCGGCTGGGCTGCGGCTGCGGGTTGTCGGACCAAAACAATCGATAACACACTACATAGTTAAAGTCACTAGTCTAGTCCATCCAAGCGTCATCGACCCGTTATCGATAAGTGAGGGCGGCCAAGCAAACAACAGCAACAACTCGCTGCCCGTCCGTCCCACCACAACCACGGCTTTCACGAGGGCAACGCAACCTGTTGGCGCAGCCCCAAAAAATTGATCTATCAGATCAGACAATTAGACCACCTGATCGCTGAGACTCCTCCATCACTCGGACAAAGAAACAGTCACACCAATTTCCACGATGGCTGCAAACGGGCTGGTCCGTGTCTTGCCTGTCATTGACCCCTCCGCGGGACACAGCTTCAGGGAGCCCATCAAACGCATCCACGAGCACCAGGATGTGTCAGAGTTCCTGTGCTCCAGGGGCTATGTGGACATTATGACCTTCTTGCTGCAGCTCAACCGGTCCATGTTCCCCGCCAAACTGCCAGATGGGCGTGTTCAGACCTGGCCTGTGGGATCCGATGCGGTCGAGTACTCCGCCCCCGTCCGTCAACTGCAGCAGCTACTATCCAAGCTGGAAGCGATCCTAGAAGAAGCACCACCCGATAAGGGGCCCCGCAGATTCGGGAACATCAGCTTCCGCCGGTGGTATGAAATCGTGGAGAGCCGCGTCTCGAGCCTCCTGGAAGAGTGCCTGCCCGCAGACCTTCTGAAGACTAAATCGTCCGACCCCAACGGCCCGACAGCCGAAGTAGAGCTGAAGGCCTATTTTCTGGGGAGCTGGGGAAGTCCCCAACGCCTCGATTACGGCACGGGTCACGAGCTGAGCTTTCTAGCCTTCTTGGGAGCCCTATGGAAGCTAAACGGGTTCCCTCAGAACACCCCTGGGGTGGAGGAACGCGCCATCGTTTTGGGCGTGATCCAACCGTGAGTTTGACGTCCAATCAAAGATCAATATCCTGCTAAACCTGAATGAGTTACCTGGAACTCGTCCGCATCATCATCAAGACCTACACCCTGGAGCCGGCCGGGTCTCACGGCGTGTGGGGATTAGACGATCATTCGTTCATTCCCTACATCTTCGGCTCGGCGCAGTACGCCCCGGCGCTTTCGCAAACGGACCAAGTACCTGAGGAAGGCTCCCTCCCTGAGGCACCTGACCCCAACGGTGTCGCGAAGGCGGCCGTCGTGGAACGGGAGAGACAAACCAACCTGTATTTCTCGGCTATTGGGTTCATCTACGATGTGAAGAAGGGGCCGTTCTGGGAACATAGTCCGATGCTCTACGATATTTCGGGCATCCGCACTGGCTGGGCCAAGATCAACAAGGTACGTTTGCGCCGGACCCAGCAGGAATTTTGGCAACTGACAGCGGCTAGGGTATGATCAAGATGTACAATGCGGAAGTTCTATCCAAGTTCCCCGTCGTCCAGCATTTTCCCTTTGGATCCTTGTTCAGCTGGGATCGCGACCCCAATGCGGTGCCCCCTCCGTCTACGGTGCATGCCGCTTCAGGGCCCCAGTCGCGACCCCAGGAACCGTCTCTTGCACCGGGGACCACGGCTCCTTGGGCTGCCGGCTCACCGGCAAACCCCGCGGGTGGTGGCACAGCTGCACCCTGGGCTGGAGGCCCAGCAAGAGCCCCGATTCTCCCTGATACCTCACGGTTACCCCCAGGACCCATGGCGCCTACCCGAGCGCCGTGGGCGAGTGCCCAGCAAAGGCCGGCTCCGGGTGGACCGGCAGCCCAGGAGGACATGCCCACCAAGGCCCCTTGGGCTAAGTAAGCTGGCCATCTTCAAAAGTTCTACTGTCCACCATATACCCTACGCATCAATGATGCTCATATTCTTACATCACGATCTTCAGAGTAGAAGGCATGCAGCCATGCAGTCATAACACTCAATATGATAATCCAGACATATCAACAACCACCCAGGGTATCACAAACAACCAAGGAACGCCAATGTAGCATATGCACCATGTAGAATCAATCAGAATCCGACGCGTAATCCACCAGCCCAGCCGAAGCCAGCAGCGGCGGCGGCGGCGTGGTCTCTGCCGTCCTCACGGGTTCACAGTCAGGCGTGGCGCTGCTACCTCTCGCCGCCGCCGCCGCCGCCTCCTCCTCCTCAGCAAGCCGACTACTCGCAACAGTCCTCCGTCTCTTGCTCTCGGGCCGCCACTCACTCGAATCACTACTGAGGAACGGATCCACCGCCGCGCGAGTATTGCCCCTCAACTCACTGCGAAACAAGGCCTTGCGCGACGCCGGCGCATCCTCCCCCTGGCCCGTCGATCGAGCCCGCGGGCCCCCCGCAAACAGCGGCTTCAGCCGGGTGCTGGTGGACGGATTCCCCGGGTGCTCGCCAAACTCCACCAGCCCAGCCCTGACACGATCCTCCTCGGTCTCCTCGACGACCTCAATCCCAAGACTCAACTTATCCCGCAACAACTGCGTCTCGGCCGCCTTCCGCTCCAACCCCTTCCTCTCCTCCCGAAACCCCCTCCTCAACCTCCGGGAGTTCTCATACGGATCCTCCCAATCCCGGGCCTGCCGCACCTGCAACTCCCCAATCCGCTCCCTCGCCCCCGCGCCCCGCCGCTGATCCTCGACCTTCCCCTCCACCCGCGCAAACGGATCCACCTCCCCACGAATCTTCCTTCCCACCTGCGCCAACCCCATCCCCGGCACCACAATCTCCCCCTGCCCCCCCTCCCCGCCGCCGCCGCCGCCTCCTCCTCCCGCAGCATCGCCATAATCCCGCCGCCGCCCGCCTTCCACAACCACATACTCGGTATTCCGGGGATCGGTGCGGATCTCGATCCACCCGCCGCAGGGGCCATGCTTCATGCGGAAGCTGTACACGGGGGTGGAGAAGTATCGACCGACGGGTTTCTTCTCGGCGTTGAAGCGCACGCCCTGGCCGATGAGGGTCTCGTGGGGTCGGCAGGTGGTGCACCACACGGCGAAGGGCATCTCGAAGCGCACGATCAGGCTGCCCGTCGTCTTGAGGTGGCGCGCGCGCGCGCCCAGGGGGTGTTTCTGGTGCAGGGCATTGCCGGTTGTTGTGCCTTCTTGGTCCGGGGGGACGTATCTTCATCGGGGGGGTTAGTGTGGGGTTA